ACGATCTTAGCGCCTAAACTAAATTCTAGCTTTTGTCAACTTATTATCACTCTGTGAGCATGCCCGATAGAGGGGGCTGCCGCGAGCGAAAAAATCGTTGAGGCAGTGGTGTGGGCAAGTTCTGTTACGTCACGATTGGCATAGAGGGGTCTTGAGCTAGCCCAGGTAGCGTTGTTGAGACGCATGAAGGAAGGCCAGACGGGATGTTGCCGCCAACAGAACATGCACTCCTTCATTCTGCATAAAAGCCAGTGCGTGGCAGTGGTGCACCAGTGCCTCTTACGTAGACATGCGGGAAGCAAGAAAAATTCGCACTGCCGAGGAGCTTACTAGGAGACGTAGTGTGCTGCTAATAGAGACTACCAGCGTGGACGATGATTGTAATCGGCACGCGGTCAGCCGAAGACACCGCTACTTAACGATGACGGTGAGCTGGAGACGGCACGTGCTTTCATCGAGAAAATGCTAGGCAGAGGGAGTGTTATTTTTGGTAAATTCAGGACGTAAGAGAACTCGAAAACGAACACTGCCCTGCCGCAAGCTAATGAAAGGCCTGAACGACTGGTGCAAACGTTTAGCTTGGCATCCCTAAGCATGAATTCGCATGGCTAGTACGAGCCAAAACGTTCAGCTTCGCTTTTGACACAGTGCAACGTCTCACAGTAAATAGCGCCAATGGCTTCGTTGTGCCTGTATAAGGCCTTCTGCTTCGAAGCTTGTCTGAAGTGACAATCACAAACTCATGTAATGTTTTACATAAGCTTTGCGCGTAATGCAGCATCATGACAGAAATCCTTCAGAACTCTTGAGGAGAACTTGGAGCGCGAAAAACAAGACATTCACAAGAACAGGGGACAAGACGGGGTGCTTCTAACCCCCGCCCTGTCTCCTGTTCTTTTGAATGTCTTGTTTTTTGTGCTCAAAATCCCCGATAATTTGGCATCATGTAACCGAATTCCAAGATTTATACGACCCGCCCCTCCGAATTAAGAATAGAAGAAAACGAGATTCAACGAGGCGGCGATAGTTGGTACGTCTTCACGCTTGTGATGTGCTGCAAGGCAAGACACACTAGCCTGTGCTGTTTCTCGGTTTTTCTACTCCGTGTCTCATTTTGCAGCGTGTCATAAGCACGAAAAAACGGGACGCATAACAGAAGCCTGTATACATGTGGGAGGCTCATTAGAAGGAGGGCCATACAGAGAATTTTGTCCCACGTGTTATCTAACATCATGGAAGATCGGCTGAACCCGACATTTGATGCATGTTTCTTGTGTAACAAACCTCGTAGGTGTATCCGTGCTGTAGAAGTTTGACGCTTCATTCTTAGCCATTACTTGACCCAATTACAATTGCACGCCAACTAATAACAGCTTTTCATGAGGCTATGGACATCGCGCATCTCACGTCAAGGAAGTAACAGGAGGTGATGGAAAGAGAAGGCTGTTAACCAGTCTAGAAAGACCAGTATGCTACCCTAAACAGGGAACAGGGATTAGGGAGTTTGAAAGATGAAGAGAGAGGATAGCTCACGCACTCAAAGTTGCCCTACACAGTCATCATAACACTATTAGTCTATAACCGCTGGTCCAAGTTGGTTGCTTTCTAGGATTTGCATTGAATGTATACCTCGGAGTGCATGTACGGCATTTCTCTTGCGGTAATGAAAAACGAGCGCATACGCAACATTGCATATGCAGAGCATGCGAAAAATACGTTCGAATGCACGTGAACGAAAAGGCTAAAGGTTTCCTGGATGGCCATTCCACAACCTGCCAGGACCTCTCACTCGACCTAAACAACACGCATGTCGTTACCAAGATCAAAACATGATTTACTCGACAAATGAATCTCCAAGGGTGACAGTGACTGCCATCGGTATAAGAAACACGGAAGGAGTACTCCGAGCGATCATTCTGCTCTTCTGGGCAGCCACTCAACAGGGACTTAGAGAGAACGAAGAGGTCACCCGAAGTCTCACTTAACGGTCCAACTCCGGTGCCACTCAAGTTACTGAACTAGCAAAAAACGCCAAGCCTGCGCGGGAGGCGCAGCACAGTCACAGCGAAAGTCCGAAGAGCGGCATTTCAGGGCCTTTTCAAAACACTCATTGGGTAACTGCTGCAAGCACGCTTGCTAGGTACCCACTCGGTAATTAATAATAAACATATTTAGGTAGTAGGTCGGCATTGGCTGTGCTATTTTTCGTCATTCTTCTGAAGAGCGTAGTATCCGCTTAACATTTGCGCGAAACTTTGTGCCAATTGTTCGTGCAGTGGCTGATGACAACGAGGAAATTAGGCTGAAGTGGGTATGCGCTACAGTTATTAGGGGAACAAAAACAAGCTTTTGTAATGGGTTGGAGCATTGGACGGTCGACACGTTTCGCTATTCGCATTGTCCGATGACTGGCTGCTCTTTTCCTGTTTTAAAACGCATTATACGTCGTATTAACGCGATTACTTTCCCGACATCAAGCCTTCTTATGGCAAGCTTTCAAACAAGTCGCAGGCACAAGCGTAGCTCAGTGGTAGAGTACAGGGCTGGCACCCCGCGTACTCAGGTTTGAGCCCCACAGGGTCATTGGTGTTAGAAGTTTTTTTTTCTAGTTGTTCACGATGTGTTTAGGGACACCGGTAATGGCGGCGGTATAGCAGCGGCAGACAACTGCGCGTGCCCAGTGTTGTGATGTCATAACAGCTTTCGCTGTAAAAGACGTGAGGATATGATATCATGAAACCCTAGCACACCACAGGCTGAATCGGCAATTATACCCGGGAGCGGACAGATCACTCAGTAAGAAAGACGAGATTATGTGGCGAAAGTTACAGACGGAAGTTTTTCCAAACCTCCTACATTACATCTAGTGGCACCCAGCAGTTTTACGGTCCTAGTGCAATTTTGGTGATGAGGTGGCAAATTTGGTTCACATAGTGTCGACATGTTGAATCAGAAGGATGGTTTACGCGCTGTGTAATTCTGGAATGTCCTGCTCCACAGCCCCAACTCCAACGTCCGCCATAAGTCAACCCTTGCTGCTACCAAGTAATACTGGCCGGGGGTTAGGGGTGAGGGCAATGCATGACTTGATTGACAGATTTTTTTTTCAAAATAGAGTGTCTCTTTCTCTCACTCACTCTTGAAATCGTAGAAGCAAAACGCCTTTTTATCTGGCGGAACACCATTAGCGTGTCATTGATACATGCTCATACTGAGATGGCGTACGCATACGTAATTAACACATGTGTCGGACAGCATAGATTTACTGTAATATGCATACGCACGCCGCAACTCTTGGACGTCACTTATAAGCTACAATCACTTATAAGCTACAAGTTTTCCCTATTATAGGTTGTTGCAAGTTAAGTGGTTGTGTCGTCGGTTCTTTTCTGACCATGCGCGTGTGCGTGTTTTGCGCTTCAGTGAGAAAAAAAAAATTGTGTACCAACAAGCCTGGCTAGCTACCTTGATCTATTGGGTCTCGCTGGAAAAACTTGGGGAACGCAGCTTAATTGTATATTATACGACTGTTTGGGGTGCTGTTTCTTGGCTCTCTACGATACAGTCTGCCCTCTATATTGAACGCAAGCAAAAGAGGTTGACGCGCGATAGAAAATGTTCAGGCGCAGGCAGTATATTGAAATCGAAGCTCTCAGGAGATATATAAGGCATGTGGCCCGGACTACCCGCCACCACCTAGCCTCTCTACCGGCGGCTAGGCTTCATACTTCCTTTTCTAGAACAGTGACTACACATGGTGACTTTGTACCACTGGTTTTACGCCCACGGCAAGACATTCAGTTCCAACGTGGTGCCTCAAACAGCCAGTGATCAACCTGACGATACCATGCTTTTAGAAAAACGAGATTTGTCAATACAATCCTTTAAGCAGCTCGTCTTACTTCTACTGTACAAAAAGTACTAAGACTGCACCCACGTCTACACCAACGGTTACGTCCTGCCGAAGAGCAGAACAGCGGTGGTCGTTATTATAACGCATGCCCTAGCCTTCAAATTCAGGACAGTTCACGACACAACATCAACATCAGCAGAGCTTGCAGCACTTTGCACTGCGCTGCGTTTGACCAAAGCACGCAACGGTCGACCTTCTTCTGCGACTGCAAGGTGGCACTGCCGTCACTTCTGTCAATCTTATGCCGTGGTCCGCACAAACAAATGTTTTTGAGACGACAGCAATGCTAGATCAGTTAACATAGAAAGGGAACCACATTATATTTCATTGGCTGCCAAGTAACTGTGGATTTATCGATAACAACCGGCCTGATCAAGCTTCCCGTTGAGCTCATACAGAAAACCAATACCAGTCATCACCTCTCGCTATACCGACGCTGCTAGAAAGCTCCGCATGCTTGCTCTGCAAAGCTCCTTGTTTCTTTAAAATGAGCCTCTTTTACGCATGCAAGATTACGCTTCATTGATCCGACGTTAAGCTTACGCCTTCCAACTAACCTACTACGAGGTGACGCAACTGTTCTGTGCAGACTATGGTTGGGCGTGCTGTTTACCCATGCATACGCGTTCCACATAGAGATGGCCGACACCATCACCTGTGCACACTGCGAAGACGAGACAATTCGACACGTCCTGTGCGGCTGCCCGGAATATACGAAGCCAATATATGTCTGATACTCTCAACAAGTTGGATGACCAGCCACTGTAAGAGGAAAGTATGCTGCACCATCGTCTAGACTCATTATCGCAGACGAAGACCACGCGAGTCCTAGTGGGCTTCTTGAGCAACACTGGCTTGTTAGAACGACTCTGAATGGATTGATTCCGTGTTTTCCTCTTAATTTTCACCTTTCTCTTTTTTTTCAACCCCCTATTTTCCAACCCCAGTGCAGGGTAACATACCAGGTACTAGTATCTGGTTAACCTCCCTGCTTTCCCTTTTCTCGGTTCTCTTTCTCTTTCGGAGAAGGTGTAAAAAGGAGACGGGTGACTGTCATGTTTGCCGGAAGAAAATTATAATTGCTTACCTTGAGCACACGAAGGAGCCTGTCCTGGCAAGCAAGAACGGGCACCAGGGCCCGTAGTTTGTCGATTGGCAGCATGATCATGTCATTTATGCGGCCATTCGACAGATAGTAGTTTTTGTCCTGGCACTCGAAGTAGTGGTTGTAGACGTATTCACCGCACACCGCCAGGTCGTTGCCGCACACGCTCCTGCAAAGATACGAGAGAGAGTCATTGCTCAACATCTTTGCCGCGTACTGCTGTGGTGAAATCTAAAAGTGCTGCAGCTATCGCGCTGCCAGTATTTCGCAGAACATTCCATTTCATCCCTCTGCGCCACCAACTAAGGCACGCAGAGGGACGCAAAAGAGGAAGTCCAGGCCACCCAGTTAACTGAGCAATGCAAATTTATTGGTAACGCGACCATACGCTTAGTCGCTGACGCGTACCAACACTTCCGACCCGCCGCGTTATGACTGCTCCTTGCACAAACATTGCCGTATGGGAGGCTACGTGTGGCAATAGTTACAGTGGAAGAAATTGTGGGGCCACACTGTTAGCTTATATTGACGTACAGAATAGTGACTTTCTGGGCAGGCCAGCAGCTCCTTCATTTTTTCCAGTGCCCGGACGAAGGAACCAATTTCAATAGGAAGCGGCCGTCAGTGCTAGTGCGGCGTTTCATCTGTAGGTGCCGCAACTGGAGTAGAGATGATGCATATACTCTAAGACATGCCGCCGCGTCTTCTTTCGCGCTAATGCCACGGCTGCACTCGAAGCTGCTATATTACTCGGTTTTCAGCTGTAATTGCATTGTTTAAGATGTAATGAAATCTCAGAAATGAGGATCGTGAAGAACTTGTTCTGGAAACCTAGCTCATTTCTAAGGCATGTGTCGTTCGCGACTATTTTATCGAGACGCTCGCGCGTCGTCTGCTATGCCAATACCAGATAGCTTATACCAGTAATCCGCCGAAGATCGTTTTGTCACCGTGGCGCTCGCTTTACTGAGAAGTGCTTTTTTGGCTAACTTAAAGTTTATTTTTGAAAGAAGCCTTTGCAAGAAGCTAAAATTGAAAGCTTGGGTGCGTAATGCTCCGCTATGCTTGCTACTCTCTGTAGTGGTGTAGCACATTATGCACAAGCGTAGAGTTTATACGCTGAATAGCACTAAATCCCACTAGACTGCTTCCAGAGATATAGGTCATTAACCGTTCCCTTTACAAAGTGTTACATGTGTTGCCACCAAGAAAAACAAAGTGTAAGAAAAGGAGGACTTCTGGCAGGCGACTTCACCATTTGAGAGCTTCAACAATCATATCATCGTGAATTAAACAAGAACAGCTCCATATACGGCAAGATTTCCGCGACTATTGGCTATGTTTTGAACAGGCGCTGTAAAAGTCTGAAGTCTAATGCAGACTCTGAACTTGAGCCAAAGTGACACTGCAGGCAGGAAAAATTCGTCCTGTGGACAGTAGCTTGACCTTGTCTGTGTATTTGTGGGCGGTTTGTTGTAGCTTCAATATCCGGCTGTTCAGCTGTGTTTCTTTTTTCTTCCCTCTGGCCTCTTAATTCGGTAACGAGCAGAGTAGAGTGCGAATGCTTGGGTGGTGCCCATGGGCTCCCGTTGAGCTTCGGGGCGTAATGTTAGCGTTGCACACGGCAGTGATCGTGAGGTAGCGTTGTTACTGATACTCATTTTTTTTACTGTTCGTAAACAGAGCACTCCCGTTTAGCGATACCAATGGTCATGCTGCCAAACGTTACGAGTGCTCTTCGACCACCACTACTTATAATCTATAAAATAGTGGGGTTGTAAACGACGGCTACATATTAAAATGTAGTACGATGATTTATTAGCAGACTATTTGTTCTGCCCGACTTCTGCAAGCACCCGCTCTCCGATCACCAGCGGAATATGCAATTTCACGGAGGTACAGCCATACAATGCATTAGGGCAATTCATTTATTTCTCTCAACATACTGCAGCCCCGCAGGGCTATCGCAGGAGTGGGCAAATACACACATCGAAGAGCATAACAAGTACGCTCTACATCTATGGTTAGTAATATACAATAAAAATTCATCCAGTGATAAAGATCGAACGTAACCAGGCAAAGAATTCCACAATTCAATAGAATGAACAAAAAACTATATTTAAACGCCACGGTACGATGAACAAAAGTAGACATGTTTAACTCATGGTAATTTCGGGTGGTCGTTGGTCTAGCATGTGCTATATATTTGCCGAGTAGAGGGAACCGTGGGGAATTAAAATATAAAGAAACTTCAAACATGCAACGTGTTCACGGGAAGAGAGACTGGTAAGCTGTAAGATAGGAAGATGGGAACTTGGTGAGAAATACCTGTCAAAGCGACGATAAATGAAAAGTAAGGCTTTCTTCTGAACAGCTTCTATTTTGTTGATGTCCGAAATCTTGTGTGGGTTCCACACAACAGATGCATATTTCAATATTGCACGACCGAGTGTTTTATAAGTGAGGAGTCGTATTCTGAGAGGTGCTGAACGTAAAGTGTGTTGTAGGTAGCCTAATTTTCTAAGCGCATATGGTTGCACATGAGATCGATGTGTTGAGACCAAGAGAAATACTGAGTGAAAAGAAGACCTAAATATTTGTATTGTGAAACGATTCCGATAGGGCAACCATTAAACAAATAGGTAAATGGAAAGGGGGAAGAACGCTTGGAAAATGACATGGATACCGTTTTTCGGAAGTTGATTTGCATTTGCCAAGTGTCACACATTGATTGAAATAAAGCAAATGAATCGTTAAGGATGATTTGACCACGAGCAGTTTTAATCGTATGATACAAAACACAATCGTCAGCATACATGCGGATTTTAACAGGAACATTACTTGGCACATCGTTAATCAAAATTAGAGATAAAAGAGGGCCTAATATCGAACCTTGAGGAACGCCAAACGTTACAGTGGAAGTGGAGGAATGAGAAGACTTGAATAGTACGTACCGAGACCTATTGGGTAGGAAAGAAGAAATTCAGTTTACTAATGCTTCGTTTTTAACAAAAACAGTGAGCTTTTTAGCAGTTTTTAATGTGAAACAGTGTCGAAAGCTTTGGAAGAGTCTGTGAATATTGCGTCAATTTGATAACCAGCTTCCAGAACCTGTTAGATGTCATGAGCGAATTCACTGAGCTGGGTTATGGTACCAAACCCACGTCGAAAACCATGATGGGCATCAGATAAAACATTATAGGAATCTAAAAATTCTATGATTTGCTTGAAAATTATGTGTTCGAGTATTTTAAAAGGATGGGATATGATAGAGATTTGTCTGTAGTTCAATAAGGACTGCTTTTTTCCGGATTTGTATAACGAAAGAAATTTAGCCAATTTGCATGTTGTAGGGGCAACAGACGTCGAGAGAGATTTCTGAAAGATAATGATTGAATACCGACTAGTCCATAAAGAGTACCTAATGAGGAATTTGTTGTCTATATTATCAGGACTATACCTATCTTCTTCGGATCGAGTTTTAAAATGAGATTCAGCACACCCTGGTTTGAAACAACAATATGGTCAATAGAACTGCGAGTATGCCCTATAAAAGGAGGAACAACGGAATTATCAAGTGTAAAAACAAATGGAAAGTAATTATTGATTGCATCTGCAATAAGAGCTGTATCGCATGTAAGTGTGTCATTTATTTTAAATGTGTCAGTGGTAGAGTCCATCGGCAGAACCGACTTTCAAAATTTACGTGGAATATTTTTAAGCAAACCGGGCAGTGTAACTCCATAGTAAAAATCACGAGCAGCATTTGTTTTGCTTCGAAGATCCTCTTTCAGAGCATTGAATTGTGCGGCAAGAACAGCATTACCAGTGCGTTTCGCACACCGCAAACGTCCAAGTCGTCGCGACAGGTGCAAAATTTCCCGTGTGATTTAAGGCAACTCTGAGTTTGTCTTTTCTGTTTTTAACGGTACAAAACGCATAATGCATGTTGAAAAAAGATCACTGAAGAATTTTGTTAAAGCATCAATATCTTCTGAAATACTAACCGCTTCAAAATGGGCAAAAGAAGAGCTAAGTGTATCAATAATACCAATATCGTCAGCATGGCTCATATTGCGGAAAGTAGAATAGATGTATCGGGCTTTCGGTACAGGACATGAAATAGATGCAAAAACAGCTTTATGATCTAATATGTTATCCACAACAGTGCACACATAACCATAATTGCAGTCTCTCGGGCTGAAGAAGACAAGGTCACTGACTATTTGCTTTAGGCCGGAAGTTAGGGAAAAGTTCAATGTTTCTCTGTGAGGTTGGGAAGCATGACCCAGCAGAGATAACGACGTCCCTTTTATATCGGGGACATTAAAATCACCCATATATATTAGATTTGGTGAATGAGGAGCCATTTATTGGACGAATGCACTCAGGGAAAACAAAGAGTCCGCGATCAGGTTAGGTGGACGGTAAAAGACACCAATAACAAAAGTCAATGTTTCAAAGTAAACTTTACACCAAACCGATTCAGTTTGAGACGGAGCATCAAGAGCAGAAAACTTTAAGCCGAAACGTAAATATAAAGCAACGCCACCACCTCTACCATTGATTCGACCACTTCTTACGACATTGAAGCTCGGCAGCGAAATCTCCGCATCACGAATTTCGTTATGAAACTAACTTTCCGGGACACCGATGACATGGGGGGGGGGGGGGGGGACAAATCTAGCGACAAGAAATCAGAAAACTTGTTGACTAAACTTCTTGCAATAATATTTAAAATACAAAGATTATCAGGGAAATCCTGGTGGCGTCAACAAGAAGTAGGAGTAGTGGCTGAAGGAGATGCCATCACCACAGTATCGCAATTACGAGACTTAAAAATTGTGTTAGACTGCGCGTCCCAGTTGTAGCTATGTTATCAATTAACACGTTGTTGTAAACAATGCGCACCGAAGAGCCGCTGTTGCGATGGGTTCTGGTTGCCTCCCACAGGTTTCTTGTGATGAAACGTACGTTATCAAAATAGTATTCAGATATGCGTTGATCGGAGCCCTTCAGCTTTGAGGAGCTTTTAAGAATATGAATTTCCTCACGAAAATCCAGCAGCCTGAAAATGATAGGGCGGGTGCGGCCTGTGTGACGTCTACCTAACCTATGACACTTTTTGATTTGCGGGCAATCCATGCTCAGAGTTTTCGGGAAAAATTT